ATTATAATTAAGAAAAAATCTGATTTAAATTTTTTAAATTTTTATTGTTGTCTAAGTCTCTAAAGATCAACTTCATACTTACTGTATATTTATAATAGTGTTAATAATCTGAACCAAATAAGTCACAAAAAATTAGGGTATATATGTTTGTTACAATGATTTAATACTAACTATATTAGGGGACACTTAAAGAAGAATGAATCCAGTAATAATCACATTATGTGAAATCATGGAATGACGTCATTTGTTTACTAGCACTAACGAATTTGGCTTAAAAAATACTATCACCTAACTCTAACACTAACTCTAACTTATGCCGAGTGTTTAATCCTGTAATGTGATTATCATGAAGATATCACTGAGTTCACTCTTCTTGAAACTATACTATATTAGCACCAATAGTTTTTTTGTCTAACCTATAAGACTAGACTGGCCACAGACTGCAGGACTTGCGGGTTTACCGCTCTACATCTGATTTATACTATAAGAAATTTAGTTTTTCCAAATTTAGGCTTAACCTAGGACTTTATTCTAGTATTCGGCAAAATCAAATAAAAACTTGATTTTCAAGTTTTTGAATCTATCGATTTACAGTATTGTGCTTTAATTACAAAATCTATTTTTAACTTTAAACTTCATGATAAGTTACCACGAAGTCTGAAGTAAAGATCGGATGCCTGTTGGATTTATATATTTGCTAAAAATAAAATTCGTATTTAATGCCCAATACTGTAAATTGATAGATTCAAAAACTTGAAAATCAAAGTTTTTGTTTGAGTTTGCCGTACACTAGTTCTAACACTATTTTAAATATTAAAATTCTATCGCGATGGCTTTAATTCCAGGATAAACACATTTTGGTATCACTAATTCAATTGATTAATACGGTTCAAATTCGAAGTTTTGCTCTTTACATCAAATAAAAAGGGTTGTACTGTCATTCATTACAAACAAGGCACATTCTATTGTTTTGTTAGATAAATCATAAGCATGAATTAATGTCGAGAATAATAAGAAAAGGTTAACACAATTACTATTGTATGATAATTTAAAACAAAAAGGATGATTTTTTCTTCATTTTTCCATGTTAAAAACTGAATCAGTTTTACTATGTATGAAGATTTAAAAGAATATGCAAATTTGATCCTAAAAACTAACGGTATTTGTAATCAGCAGCCGTATAAAAATAATTATAGTAAATTATTACAAATTTTGTGTAAAGGGAAAAGAGAATTAGTGGTACTGTAAGTCTTAGATCTCTTTTTCTCAGCGAAGACATTAATACAACGAAGCGAAAGTATGTGTTAGTGTCTAAACAACACAGCCAATAAGAGAACTGAGAATAAAGTAAATCTATACGTGCGTTATAATTGTAAGACAAGCAAGTGAGGCGAATCATTACTTGATTTCAAGCGAGAATAGGCCCATCTGTTAACCTCATAAACTAATATCTCATCTCTTGAAAGCAATGTATAGATTCTTTTCTCTCAATCAGAAAAATAATACAATACTTCACGGTTATTACATTTTAATATTTCATAAAACTCCATGCCCAAAATTAAATACTGCGATGATAAATCACCTATTGAATCCTTTAAAAATTCTGTTCGGCAACCTTTCTGGAATCAGCTTACGTCCTATAAGTCAATGGTATTTATTTACGAGATACAGTATTGCGGCTCTATAAAAATCCAAATCTGTGAAGCTCAAGTAGACCTTCACACACTGCTTTCTGTTTCGATGTTTAAACTAATTAATAAAGCCGAAGCTCAACATCACAAAATCTAAGACTTTAATAATGAACTACATTGCGTTATCAAAATCAAAGGAAATAAAGAAAGAAAATGAAATTGAGCTCCAAGCAACAGACAACCTCATCAAATCTCCAGCAAGGAAAAATATGAGAAGTTTATTAGATTTGGACCTATCATCGTCTTATCTCTGTCATAAAGAAGAAAGCACTAAGCGAAACAAAAAGAAGCTTACGGGAAAGTACCTTAATGCTAGTGTAATAATTTTATTGCGTAATTCCAGTAGGTTATTAAACACTCTATGATTTAATTTATATAATCAAACTTTGCTAAGAGATTTAAGATGAAATATCGATCACTAATTAATAGAAGCATTAGGGTAGGAAATATGGAAAATATGCATTTTCCGAAGCAACTACTGTACGATAGTCGGTCTGTGATGAATCGTCTTAATGAATTTTATCCTTGTATTAGAACAGGAAGGATAAGGTGTCATCGCACGGACATATAATAAACTCTAGATGTAATTTCCATGATATAGTTCATTAAGTGTAAACGCTACAAGCTTCGTCGTGCCAATTTTTGCGAAAAATCATTGTCTTATGAATTATTTCATCAAAAGCTCTTAACATCATTGTAACTCGAGCTCCCCGAAAGCAATTTTCTCGAAAAGACACAATATTAGCTATCAGCTACCGACTTATGTTTTTCGGGAAAATTACTTTCGAAAATCGTACTAAAAACCGTTGGGGAATCCTAATGGGAACTTGTATATTTCCTTGATAAGAAATGTATAGGTTAAAATATAGGTAAAGATGGACTATAAAAGTGAATATGCAGATCAGATGGAACTGCAATTTTTTTGATATGTTAAAATCTTATCAAAGAATATATTTATCGAAATTTTTAGTTAAAACTTCAACACGAAAAAAATTCTTATTTTCAAAAAATTTCGTTACTATTTCAGCTCGAGATCCAGAGCATCCAAAATATGATGTTATAGTAGTTGGTGGCGGCCACGCTGGTTCAGAAGCGTGTGCTGCCGCTGCTCGTACTGGTGCCAAAACTTTACTTATTACCCAAAAGTTAGATACCATTGGTTAGACGTTGTTCTTAATTTATTGCATTTTTGGTTTTTTTAAATGTATTTTATTAAAGTGAACTTTACGATTAAGGCGAAATGTCTTGTAATCCATCATTTGGAGGGATTGGAAAAGGAATATTAGTTAAAGAGATTGATGCTTTGGATGGGCTGTGTGGAAAAATATCTGGTGATTGGGTATTTTATTTGTCGATAAAGAAAATAATTAAACTATGAATAAAATAGAATTAATCTTTTATTAAAAAAAACTTTAGATTTGTCTGGAATACAATTTCATATCTTGAATCGTTCAAAAGGTCCTGCAGTACATGTAATAAATATTATTGAATTAACTATAATCAAAATATAAATAAATAATATTCCATCATTTCGAATATAGCTAACAACTTAATTTTAAATATGTATATATTATATACATTCTTTTAATAGGGGCCAAGAGCGCAAATTGATAGAAAGCTATATAAAAAACATATGCAAGAATGTTTATTCAATTATCCGAATCTCACAATAAAGGCTGGAAGTGTCCTTGATCTTGTGATAGCACATAATCCAATAGTTTTCAGTGAAGCAGGAGGTCAAACCAATATTTATGGAGAAGTTCAAGGAATAAAATTAGGTAACTATATATATATATATATATTTTTTAATAATTATCTTGACTTTTTAATATAAAAAAAAATAATAATGATTGATTAAATAGATTCAGGAGACATAATATTTGCACCAAAAGTTATTCTTACGACTGGAACTTTTCTTCAGGGTGAAATTCATATTGGTAACATTTATATCAAGTTCAAAGATTTTAAATATTTTTTAGTTACATTCTGTTAGCCATCCTACTAATATCTTTAACGCATACACGTGTAGGTATGGTCGTGTATCCTTCAGGAAGATATGAGGAAGCACCTTCTTTTGGACTTTCTAAAACTCTAGAATTGGCAGGATTTAAACTTGGCCGACTAAAAACAGGTAATAAATTTCAGATGGTTTATACTCAGAATGTTATCATCTAAATTGGTTTTTAAATATGATTTCAGGAACACCACCAAGGTTAGATGGCCGAACAATAAATTATAAAAGCTTAATACCGCAGTATGGTGATATTCCTGCCACACCGTTTTCTTATCTAAATACTTCTGTACCTCATGAGGTATCTTTAACTCATATCCAAATAATTATAAAATGTCTATTAGTCTTTATTTTAGGTATTATTTTCTTGTAGTTGTGATTTTTTCTTAAAGGTTTAATTTTGAATTTTTTTTTTCTTTCGCTGTGAAAAGGCGAATCAAATAGTATGTCATCAAACAAAAACAAATTTGGACACACACAAAATAATTAAAGATAATGTATTTCGGAGCATTCATGTGCGTGAAACTGTAAGAGGACCTAGGTAGTTTTAATTTTTTTAGGTTTAATGTTAAGAATTTAAAATAATAATATTCAAGATTAATTTTGTAATATAATAGGTATTGCCCATCAATTGAATCAAAAATATTAAGATTCAAAGATAAACAAAGTCACATCATATGGCTTGAGCCCGAAGGTGTGTTAATAATTGATTATTCAATACTAAAGTTCATAGAACCTTTGACTGAAACCCTGATCTTTATTCATGTATAAAAGGCCTTGATACAAATGTAGTATATCCAAACGGAATATCTGTGACTTTGCCTGAACATATTCAATACCAAATGTTAAGAACAATTCAAGGATTGGAGAACGTAATAATGTTAAGACCAGGTTTGCATTATTTTAACAAATGTTTTTAAAGAATTTGTTTTTTGTGTTGACAAAATTGAAACTTTAGGATATGGTGTAGAATATGATCATATTGATCCACGGGAGCTAAAACCAACTCTAGAAACTCTTCGTGTCAAAGGTTTATATATGGCAGGACAGATTAATGGAACCACAGGTTACGAGGAAGCCGCTGCTCAGGTACTGTTTCGTTTATGTACGTTTTGAATTTATCATTGCTATTATACTCAACACGTGAAATTTTTTATGAAGGGTATTGTAGCTGGAATAAACGCTGCTTTGTCAGTTCAAAAAAAACCCGCATTTATACTTGATCGAGCAGATGCATACATTGGTGTATTGATAGACGATTTGACAACTAAAGGTGTTGAAGAACCATATAGAATTTTTACTTCCAGGTCAGAATATAGATTGTCACTCAGGGCTGATAATGCTGATATACGGCTCACTCGTAAAGGTATTTTAGAAATGGATTTAATAAATGTGATACTGCTTAATAAAAAATAATATGTTTTTATATTAATGGGATTCGTATTCGTTTCACATATTTAGGCTATCTAGCGGGATGTGTGTCTAGTTATCGATATAACATGTATCAACAGACGGAAGAGCAAATTCATAGAGGAACAAAATTATTACAAGACTATGTGTTGTCTCCACAGAAATGGAATGAACTAGGGATTAAAGTTTGTTTAGACGGAAATGTAAGAAGGTATTAATTATTATATATACAATTATTATGGATTAATGAAGAAAAGCTAAATTTATTGTTAATTTAACAGTGCAAATGACATATTAGGGTCTCGTCATGTAACAATTTCTGGCCTAATGCATATTATCCCCGAGCTTTCTGAAATTGGACTTTCTACACGGCAGAGATTATTCATTGCAGGTAATTGGCACTGTGGTTCATACTTTATAATTGGATAAGTATTTTATATTTACATCGCATAAAGATGTGTTGATTTTATCGAATGTTTATTGCTATTATAAGCTATATATAAGGAATATCTAGAAAAACAAGAAATTGAAGTCCAGTCATTTAGAAAAGAAGAAGAAATAATTATACCTGAGAATCTGGATTATGACATGTATGATAAAAAAGGAATTATTGCGCTAAAAAAAAATAGTGACAAAGTATTCGAGCTCGAATGGTTTATATGCTTAAGTGAAGATGGCTTATACTGTGACGCAGTTTGCACCGTAATTCTTACATCGCAGTATAGTTAGTACAATCCACCTGATTACACAGAGAAATATTTTGTCACTCTCATGGTTTACTTTTTAGAATTGAATGGCTTGAATTTCAAATATTTTAATTTATTTTGTTATAAAATAGAATTAAAAATCTCTCAACGGAAACAAGAACAAAACTTAAATTAATAAGGCCCATGACACTGGTAATGTTTTGAAGTACTCTTGTCCATGACGAAAACGATGTTTCGGGTTATGAGATTTATAGTGCTCCGGTTCAACGTCTGCCAGGATCTGATGTAATTAAACTTTCGAAAACGCAAATAGATTGGAGGTTTCGAAAATCACATGATCCGATATTTCGTTTCCCATGATTTTTATTTTCAATACTGCTGGAATGGTTTCTATTTCACCACTCGCATGTTTCATTAATTTGTTTGAATTCGTTCTAGAAATAGGGATAGGACTTAATATTTAATATTGTACAAATTCTATTATAAGAAGTGGTTGATAGAACAAATTACTTAGGGTGTTAATCATTATTTATAATTTTATTATTCTTTTTTTTTATAATTTACCAAACAGGGTGCAGCAAAAAGAATTGATGGAATGACCCCAGCAAGTATAATGGCATTGATGAGATATGTTAAAAGAACAAAAAATTTTAAGTCAGATGTTTTATTGTAATCAAAGGTTAGTAAAACTTTGTTTTCTAATTATGCATAATAATTAAAATTTATTTAGGTGATAGTAGTTATCAATCATCATAACAATTTACAATATATATCATATCATGTATTAGATTGAAATTTGTCAGATCAAAGTTTAAATGCGAAGGTTAGGGTGGGTGCTTACGTTAAGTATTAGCGGAATTATAATGATATGTCTAGCATTAGATTTATATTATGTAAGAAGTTTTTCCAAATACAACATGCGAAAAAACATGATAAAGATGCTGTAATTAAACTATTATCGGTACCAAATAAAACTTTGTATACAGAGATTTCAATTAGATAAAGTTTTTTTTCGGGGGGTTTTTTTTTCGTTTAAAATCAAATACTGCGAGCATTTTATGAAGCGCAGAAATTTGGACACTCTTAGAATAAATATTCCAAATGAGGGGAAGTATAGATTTGTATAACTTAAGGCCACCTTTTATTTCTGTATATACTCATTGCTTACCTTTCGATCATTGAATGCTCTTTGCCGGGCATATTCTTTTTAATAAATATGATAAATACGTATTTTGCAAAAAACCATATACTATATTATCGCGAAGTAACGCGCAAGGGTGTAATTTCAAATTTTGGCCTAAATTAAGTTTAATTCGGGCCATTACTCCAAAGGACGGCAATACGGTATTAATATATATATATATATTAAGCAATGTGTTTTAGACTTTTCATTTTATTTAAAATAATGAACGAGCAAAATCCACCTGAAACACCCAAATGAGCTTGATCAGGCACAAAAGTTTCTTGGTACAGTCCGTGAACGTTCTTCCTAGTTCCGATGTCAAGAAATCGCTGGCTCCTTGCTGAATTTATATGGTGAATAGGATACATAAACTATTGAATTGAAAGCTATTCATACTCATTTAACTCCACAAATTTTTGTAGGGGATTAGGGTTTGAAGCCGGTTTTTTTATATGATAAAACCGATTAAACCTGTTTGTCGTATGAAGAGTAAATTAAAACCGGTACCAAACTCTACAGAAGAGACAGAAAAAAAAAAATTCTGACGTTTCAACCAGAGAACATTTATAAAAGACGCCAGCCGGTTACTACCGTAAGACCTCACGTGCAGCCCCGTTAATCCACATCAGAATATTGGAATAACCTGATTGTTGTTGTTTTTTTTTTATATCTAATGAATCTAAACCACGTATACGCGGTAATTTTTATGATCATACACTAAGAATTTTAACATGTATATAAATGCTTGCTCTCGCCCTTGGTTGAGCAATAACACACGCTCTCCAAATTCCTCTCTAAAATAAATATTACATAAATTCGCATTCTTTTTATAATAAACACCTAATAAATCCTAAATATCCGACCAAGCTCTCCCTTTCGGTGTTACGGATAGAAAAAAGAATGGAGGAATCGATGTTAGAGGAGAATTATTTGGTGTGCCGTTTGTTGTGCAATGTAAAAATTGGAACACACAACAAATAGGTGGGTATTCTTTTATTCTTTTTGAATTATTAAGCAAAAAATAAATAGTATTCATTACAGTATAATATTTTATAGGCCTTCAATCGTGCGTGAATTGATACTTGATCCGTATCCTTGCAGTACGATTGATATCGTAGTAATCCCATCAAAATAATGTGGATATACGCCTGGTGCTCATGATACAGCTACGAAATCAAGTCGTAAAATTATTCTCACAGATGATATTTATTTAAGTTTCGTTCGGACAATTCTTTATCGAATGTCCAAACAAACTGTAGCATTATTTTATGCATTGAAATTTTAGTTATAAATTTTAATAAATTAAGAGTGGTGTGTACTACTTTTATTTTTATGAACGTTGATAAATACTATTTATAATTCAGTTATAAAAACAATTATATACATGCGCTCACTGTTTTTCTCATTGACCAAGTTGGGTTTTATCTTTGATTAATTTGCTTTCATTTTTCTTTTTGTTCTATTTTTGTTTCTATCTCCTATTTTGTGTTTTTCTATTTTTTTTTTTTATTATTAAATTTTCTTAATCTTTCACAATAAATAATTTATTATACTTTATTAATACTGTAAAAATAAATACAATAATTAGTAATATCCACAATGTTCTGCTTAGGATAACCTATTATAATATTAAATCATGAAGGCTCGCGTACTAAATAAATACATACCGGTATTCATGGCTCTGAATAGCTTATGTTAAATTCATAAATCTTCATGGTAAACTTAATTTCACCAGCTTAGACAAATAAAATCAACTAATCGATTAGAAATTAAATCTTGATTTCTTTAATCTGATTGGCTAATCAACGAATTTAATCACAAAATTGATTAGTTGGCAACTAATTCACTTGGAACATTAGCCCAGTTTTTTGAGGGATGTGTTTAAATTCGAGACAAATAAGAACGAGTTATCAGTATGATAACTGATTATTCATCTACTAAAGACTCGATTAATAACTTGGTTATCCGACATGTCTGACGTAAGCACTGAGTGATATAGCCTTAAGTCCAAACTTTTTTTTGGCCTTAGCCTTAAGTCCATTTAGCCCTAGCCTTAAGTCCAATTGGTCCAAATCTGACAGTTTATAAGTCAAATAACAACACTGTTGAGTGATTTTCGTGTAAGGGCATGGAGACAGAAATCAAGTGATTTTAATTTACTAAAAGGTTATACCCCCTCCTATCAAACAAGAAACCCTCCCATCTAAAATCAGCTGATTTTAGAGGGTGTAGTGTTCCGACCCGGTTTGGTATCAACCGGGCCAACCGCGGTTGGGTCAGTTACCAGGTGAAATTATAAAGGTTAGCGGGTCAGCCGATGGGTCAACTGGCGAGTCAACCGATAGGCCAGCCAACAGATTAAAATCTCTAACATAGTTGCTTGTACTGTAAGATTTGAGCATAAATATCTCTCTATATAATAAATATTTTATGAATTAGTATTATAAATAGAACTAAAAATAAAATCATTCAAAACCGATTACTATGTAAAAGTAGTTTTATGCAATCACTGGGATATTAAATCTTTAATTATGCTGTCTTTTTAAAATAATTCGGTGACTAATCGGGTAACCCAGGTAGGTTTACTTTTAACCAGACCGGTTGGCTTATGATAGTTGATCCAAATTTAACCAACCGATTCTTAAAAAAACTAGAGTTTTGCGATAATTTGTGTGTTTACTATAAATAACTTTATTGAATCACGTCATTAATTCATGCTTTTTAAAGGCTTTTATTTAAATAGAATAATATAGACAATGTCAATACTACAGTATCTGGAAATATGTAAGTATCTAAGAAATTTTGTGATTTTTAATCCTACAAAACCGCTGCGCCGAATTCGACGTCACGATGCCCGAAAACGTGACGAAAGACCCGACCCGAAGCACCCAAGAAATCGTTCCCACGAAGCCTCAAGACCACAAGCCTTAGGTTTGGGGCAGTGTTAGGAATTGTAAACAATCGATTGGTCGCGAGAAGATGGTGAAATGGCGTGATGGGCTTGGATAAAAATGTTCGATGTAGTTCTTTTTTGTTCCCCCGCATGTAAATTTGATATTCCGAAAATAAGCACCCTTTTTTTGTTATAGCAGGTGCTTATTTTCGGATATAAATTTAAAATTTAATAATATAGGATTTTAGTGCTAAGTAAACCTGCTTCCAGCTCTAAGTAAAGCTATTCTCCTGGTCAGAACGATTCTAACAGTGGCAGGGTTATCAAAATTAGTCCAGTAGAATTTTCGAAACTGCTCTTCAAAGTTCAGCGATATTCGTTTACATTAGCTTGAATGATCTGCAGATCATATAGGCAAATGTCGAATATCGCCTGAATTTTGAAAGAGCAGTTTCGAAAGTTCTACTGGACTAATTTTGATGATCCTGTCACCGTTAGAATCGTTCTGACCAGGAGGATAACTTTACTTAGAGCCGGGAGCAAATCCTGTAGAATTATACTTAGGGGTGCTTATTTTTTGATATTATACAAATTTAGTGGTGCTTAATTTCGGTAGGTGCTTAATTTTGGAACTATACGGGATTACAGCTGTTTTCATAAATTCTGGGACAACTGATAAAAATTGATCAGCCGAATTTGAATTCGCCGAAATCGAATTCGGCCGAAATAATTTTTATCAGTTGTCCCAGAATTTATGAAAACAGCTGTAAATACAACTTATAAATTCCCGTAACCATATCGGAATTGGGTTTACCCGTATGTATATAAAAAATAATAATTTAAGGAGTAATTAACAATAGCGCTACAAATTAATTTTAATTATTGTTATTATCGTTATTGTTATTTACTCCTTATATACAGTACATACGTAATAAAAAATTTATATTTTGGGTTCGTTTTACAAACCCATGAAACCCAATTCCGAAAATCTGCCGATATGCTTTTGTCGCGAACTCACATATATAGATAACATTTATGATTCAGTAAATCTAAATTAGTTCGTATATAATGAGTGGAAACAGCTTAATGAAATTGGGTTACCCAAACAAAAGAAGCCATTTAATCAACAAAACATTAAGGGTAGAGTGTATGTAGATCATTTCTACTAATAAACGAGTGACCAAAAATATTTTTACTGCGAATTTAAAAGTTGCTACATATAAAAGTTAATTTTTTACTATATAAATTGTA